CACCCACACATTTAGTATTAGAAGTGTTATGGGTAAAAACAGAACAAGTAGGAACATACCTAGAAATGACACAGATTATAGAACTAGAGACAAGAATGCTAAGAGCTATTATAAATGTACTCCATGTAAAAAAAAAAGGTAGAGGAAAATATGACTATTATGAGAGAAATGGGAGATATAATTAAGATGCAAATCAAGCTTCTAGAGATGAAAAACATAATACCTAAAATAAAAAATGTACTTCATGGAATTAAACACTGCAAAGAAAAGATTAGTAAAATCAAAGATACAGGTAGAAATTTTTCAAAATAAAACACATGGGGGAAAGAAATGAAAACAGTATCAAGCAAGCCAACACAAATGTACTTGAAGTTCCAGGCAAAAAGGCAGAAACAATATCAGAAGAAATAATGTCCAAAATTTTTTTCAAATTTGTTAAAAACCATATACCCATGGATCCTAAAAGAACCCCAAAAGACCACAAGCAGAAGAACATGAAGAAAACTATGAACAACATGAAGAAAACTATAAGACACCTCATAATCAAATTGCTGACAACCAATGATACAGAGAAAATCTTAAAGGTAGCCAGAAAAAAGGAGTTGGGGCAGACACCACAAACAGAGGAACAAAGAAAATAACAGCAGGACACTTCTTGTCAGAAACAATGCAGAGGATGGTAGCAACATCTTTAAAGTACTGAAAGAAAAAGAAAACTGTCAATTTTACTTCTATTTCTGACTAAAGTGTCTTTCAAAAATGAAGACAAAATAAACACTTCCACACAAGCAAAAACTAAGAGAATTCATCATCAGCAGATGAGACTACAAAAAATGTTAAGGTAAGGTCTTCAGGAAAAAGGAAAAATAACATTTAATAATAATCTGAATATACTCGTACATATGAAGAACACTGGAAATAGTAAATATGTAGGTACATGTAAAATATTTCCTTTCCTCACTGAAAACAACAAAAATCCACACAAATGGAATCTAACCTCATCAAGATTATACATCTTGATCAAGTGGAATTTTTCCCAGGAATGTTAAGTTGACTTATCAGTCAAAAATCTATAATATAAATTAAATGGACAAAACCCACATAATCGTCTTGATAGATGTAGAAAAGTATTTGACAAAATCTAACATCTTTTCATGATAAAAATAGAAAATACTCAACCAAGTAGGAACAGAAGCGAATTTTCTCAACCTGATGAAGGGAATCTATGAAAACCTACAAGTAACATCATACTTAAATGTGAAACAGCGAATGCATTCTCTCCTAAGATCAAGACAAGGATGCTCATTCTAGACAACTGTATTCAAAAGCATACCGGAAGTTTTAGCCAAGATGATTAGTCAAAAAATGAAACAAAAGGCATCCAGATTAGAAAGGAACAAGTAAGACTTTTAATCTTCACAGATGATATGATCGTGTATAAAGAAAATCTAAATTATCCATGAAAAAACTATTGGAACTAATAAATAAATTCAGTAAGTTTGCAGGCAACAAAATCAATATACAAAATCAGCTATATTTGTATATACTTGCAATGAACACTCCAAAAATGAAATTCAGAAAAGAATTCAATTTGCAAGAGCATCAAGAAAAATAAAATACAGCAGAATAAATTTTTTAAAAGTGCAAGATTGTATCCTGAAGACTACAAACTTCTTTGAGAGAAATTAAAGACAACCTAAATAACTAAGAAGACATCCTGTGTTTATGGATCAGAAGATTATATATTGCTAAGATGGCAATACTCTCCAAAGTGATCCGATTCAATATAATCTCCATCAGAATACTGACTGGCTTCTTTACAGAAATTGACAAATTGGCCCTAAAATTTATGAGAAAAAGTTAAGGGACACAGAATAGCTAAACAACCTTGAAATAGAATAAAGTACAAGAACTTACACTTTCTGATTTCAAAACTTACTACAAAGCTCCAATAAGTAAGACAGTGTGGTGTTGGTATAAAAACAGGCATATAGATCAATGCAGTAGAATTAAGACTACAGAAATAAACTCGCATTTACAGTCATTTGCCTTTCAGCAGGATGCCAAGACCATTAAGTGGCAAAAAGAATGGTTTTTCCATCAATTGGTTCGGGACAACTGAATACCCATAAGCAAAAGAATGATCTGGGACCCCTACCTCACACCAATACTATAGTTAACTCAAAATGAATCAAAGATGTAAATGTAAGAGCTAAAACTACAAAACACTTCGAAGAAAACATAGGCATAAATCTTTGTAACCTGGAATTAGGTTTTGATTTCTTACATATGATACAAAAGTACAAACAACAAAAGAAAAATAGATAAATTAGACTTTATAAAAATTAAACTTTTGTGTTGCAAAGGACATCATCAAGAAAGTGAAGATGGGTTTTTTGGCAAGGGGTAATAAAAATGTCCTAAAATCACAGTGATGATCACACAACTTAAAATTATTAAATGTTACACTATAATAGGCAAATTGTATGGTATATGAATTATATCCCCCCAAAATGTTTTTTAATCTTTCTAATGATTTACTGTAGACGGTAATGTGTGACCTTTGAAATATTTGTAGAGGAACTGATGTAGGCCTAGACTACAGGACTACTGGGCATTGCTGGGGGCTCAGTGAATGCTGTAGACCATGAATTTGTACTGGTATCAATTCATGAAGGAATTCCCCCACTCCTCTAAACTACCTCTCTAAACTAGAGAAGGCAGTAGTTACCAAGTTCTAAGACGGGGGTGGGAGACTAAGGGGCCAGGTGGTGAATGGTATGCAGCTGAAGTGACAGGCGATAAGGTCCAGATGGGAGAGGAAAAGGAGTTGATTCAGAGTGAGGAGAAAAACTAGGACTCAGGGGCCTGAAGATCTCTATGAATAGACACAGTGGAGGTAAAGAAGACAGAATGCATAGGAAGTACAAAGTGAGTAAGATTTCAGAGGTGGAACAGTTTCAAATGATGACAAGATGCGAGTAATATGGATGAAATGGAGATGACATTCGACAGGTTGAAGTCAACAGGGAACTCAGAGGTTGAGGTACAGAGACACTGTCCTCATAGACATGGAAGCTCCCAGAATGGCGGTAAAATCTAAGATAAAAACACAGTGAGCTAAGAGCCAAGGTTATCTTGCTTTTCTGTATCCCTGAGTGGGAGTGGCTGAATCACCTAACTTTGCTGGGGTTTTTTTGTGTTTTTGGTTTTTTTTTTTTTTTAGAAAGTAAGATTTATTGAGAGGACGGAAAAGCTCCCAGAGTGGAAGCGGACCCAAGGGTGTTGCCCAACTTTGCCGTTAATTATGACTATTCCCAACCTGTGAGGATAGGCCCCTATAAGTCAGTCCTCAATCATGAGGCTGCCTGATTCCTCCTCTACCTTGTCCATCTACTTACATCCCTGTGTGCCCACATAGGATGAGTCACCATCTTGAATTATGCAGTTTTGCCTGACATTAAGGGACACTGACAGAACCTTTCAACATAGAAGAGCCAGAGTGGTGCTGGGAGCCCTGGGGGAAGTAAACAAGTGCTGAACTCCAGAAATGAGCCAACCCAGAAACCCAGCATGGCCAAGAGCCCCTGCCAGCCAATCAGCCATCAGCTGTAGATACATAGCCTACACTATGCTCAGAGCCTCCATTCACATAAGTAAGGTTATAGCCAAAGGACCACTGACTCCCAGGAAGCCCCTTGACTCTCACACAGCAAGGTTTATTCCCTCACCCACAGTGCAGAGAAGGAGCCCTGGGCAGGGGGTCTGCATTCTAGTTCTGAGTCTACCATGAACTTGCAGTGTGACCTTGGTTCAAAATCTGAGATCTTGGTTTTGCCTATTAAACAAGGGGTTGGATGTAGGATCTCAAAGACTCTTGCAGCCTTGACAGTGGGTGCAGGGAGGAGACTCTCCTCAGCTCACATCACTCAAAATGCACCAGCTGCAGAAGACAAATGAGATCAAGTCTTCAAGCCTCATTAGAGTCATCATAACAGAGTTGTTCCTCTGGGATTCATTACTTGTACCCCTCCTTCTCCTCCTCCTTCCCAAGATCCTCAAGTAGGCTCAAGTGGTATACCTGGTCTCACCTCCCACCATCTTTCTCTTCATGAGATTTTCTTCAGGCTAAAAAGTCAACGTGCTTGAGGCTGTGTGTAGAAAAGGAAGTTCTCCACAGAGCTTCCCCTTTTAGGGCATCATCATCACAAACCCCATCAGAAACCTAGGGCCAACATCCATGAAGAGGCAAACCAGAGGCCCAGATGCCCTCTTTTTATCTGGCCTGATCCTTGGGAGGGCAGGCAGGTTTCCCAGGTGTTGGGGACCCTCAGCAGCCATGCTGCAACTGGGAATGGGATCCCATCATCTTGCCTCATCTGTACACAGGGCTGGGTCCCCTTCTTCATGGGGCACCTGTTTATGACCATCTCCATGGACCAAGAAATATGTCCTTGGGACCCCAACATCTGAAAACATCGAATGAGGTCCTGGTCAGGAGCCCTGGGAAAGACCCACTTCCTGACTGCAGAAGGCAAGACAGGGGAGACCAGCCTGGGGTCAGTAGTCTTCAAGCCTAAGTATCTGAGCAATGGGAAGGAATGGGGCTGGAGGCTCTAAGACCCTCAGTGGTCCTGGGCGATGGTGTGACCACATGTAGAGGACTCCTTTCTGAGAAGGCCTCGCTGAGAGTCCCAGGACAGGTTGGTGAACAGAGTCCAGAACTCTGGGTCTTCTCATGAGTACTGCCTGGTAGAGTCAAGGCAAAAGGACCACAGGAGGATCCGAGAAGGAAGGCCACAACAGCCACAGTAAGTGAAGACTTTGTCTAGCAGTCACACCCTCCCCTAAGCCCCATTTCGCACACACCCCCCCAGTCCACGGCCGAGGAGCCATCCACATCTCCCCCACCACCTCCCTGCACAGTCTCCTTTCTATGCAGGGAGATGATGGATGGCCCTTTCCCAGGGCCAGCGCTCCCTCCTCCCCTGACAGCTCACCGAGCGATCTCCCTTCCTTCCTTCCAGTACTTCCTCCTGGTTGTTCTCCTGAGGAGGAAAAGAAGGGGTGACTCTCCACACCCTTGCTGCCTTACCTCATCATCCCTGCCCACTGCCTGGCCAGACAGACGGTCGTCACTCAAGGCCTCCTTCAGTGCCCTGGTCTCAGCTGCCTCAGTAGGCGAGTTAAGTGATGGATCAGGTTGGAGGAACTTGCACAGGGTGTTCACTCTGTGGGCCCAGGACAGCAGGTAGGCAGTCCAGACGAGGGCAGTGATGACCAGAGCCATGGGAATAAAACCCCAGAGAGCGGAGGGGGGCAGCCGATAGAGCAGGAGGGAGGGTTCCACCAGAAGAGGCAGAGGGCAGGAGCGGCCAGAGGACAGCAGGCAAGGGGGAGAGGCCCTCACTCCTGTGGGGGAGGATTCCCAGAGATCCTGGAGTGACAAAGCTTCCCTTACTGCCTGTCTAGAGTCTGAGGGGCTTGAAGGAATGGGCTGTGGGGCCCCATGTGGTGATGAGAGCAACACACCAGAGGAAAGGGGGAGACCTTGGAACTGCAGAGGGGTGAGGTCAGTGAGGGTAGGTGGAGTCCAGGGGCTAAAGGCAGGGGTGTTGAGTGCTTACCGATCTCTTCGGTGGCCCCGTTTCAGGGGACCAGCTTTCCTGTGCTGCTTTGAATGCTGAGATCCCATGGGCCGGGGAGTGCCTCCTGGGAACAAAATCCCTGTCTCGGCAAAAGAAAGAAACCCAGAAAGAAGGCAAAGGCATCCTGGCCCCCATGGTGGCCAGAGGATGGAGTGAGTTTGAGGAATGGCCCTGCCTCAGGCTGCACAGGAAGACATGGAGCTTGTTGAAATCCCCTGTATTCAGTTCCATACTGAAGCCAGCATAAGCCCACTTGGTATCTCTCTTCATCGCCGTGGAAACAGTCAGACTAATAGCCACCATCACTGATTAATTAGGACATGGAAGCTCTTCTGCTGGTCATTGTCTCCCTCCCAAACCCTCAGGATCTTAAGGTCTCAGTGGCCATGCCACATAGGGACACCCAATTGCTGGTTTCCATGGCAATGCAGAGGCCAGGCATCTCTGCATCTGTGGGTTACTATAGCAACCCAGGCAGAGCCAAGTGCACTGAGGACAAAGGCCCTATCTGGAGGAACAACAGAGGACACATTCACTGCTGTCTTCTCTATGGTCAGCCCTGTACTAGGACTCAGATTTTGTGCTAGAAGGTGCACACATCATGTCTTTTAGGGACTCCTCTCCAGGAGTCTGGTCTGCATCCTCAGACTCTTGTCCACTTCAAGTGGACCTGGATGATCCACTCCAAGACTTCACCTCCCACAACCTTTACAGTGAGAATATCCAAGCCTGCATTGTGGGCCCAGGCCTTTCCTAAACTCTGAACCCTAATCTACCACATCTCTGTACACAGCATCCTGAATGCCCCCCAGCACTTCACACTGAGGTATGCAGTTTTGCACTTCCTGTGAGTCTGATCATTCATTCTACACATTCTATTCCTGTGAGTGACACCATTCAGCCTCCTAGGCACCATCATAGCTTCCCATTTTTCCCTGTCCATCTTCCTCTGCCAATCCAGACAATTAAGAAGCACTTCTGATTCTATCTACTGAGCATTTCAGCTCTGTGTACCCTCCTTCCCTAGACCCACTTCTGAGTTGGGGCCTCCCTGTCTGTAGCCTGGATCTTGGCATCAGGATGGCATCTACATCCAACTTACTCCTCTCAAATCCATCTTCCAATTGGCAGCAGAGTGAGCTAAGCTCATGACCCCCTCCCCACTGCCTCAGGATAGAATAGGATCCTGCCTACCCGGCCAGCCTCATCTCCTTCCAGGCCTTTACTCTAACTCCCACATGACATCACTTTCTGTCTCTCCCTGCCCTCCCTTCAGCCCCACTTTTCCCCCTTTCTTGTCCATCCTTGGCCATGCTCTTATAAAAATTATACCCAGGTTTTCAATGAGAGCTTGGAACAATGATTAGTAATATTCAGGATCCAATTTCAGATTTCTGAGGGAAAAGTGATACCCAGATGCAAAGCTGCACATTGCTCACTCCACCCCAACTGGACCCTGGAGGCCTAGGCCCTAGTCTGCCAAGCAAAGAGACTGTAAGTGGTCAGGGAAGGAAGATGCAAAAGTGAATCCACTCTTACATCCTCCAGAAAACAGAAGAATCTTAGACTGTCAACCGAGAAGGGTGTCACATCCCTCCCTTCCCCTATTACAGATGGAAAATCTGGCTCAAGGGAGAAAGGGTCAGAGCCAAGGTCAAAACCAGGACTCCCAATATGCAGTCTGCTGTTCTCTCTACTTGGACACATGCCTCAAAGTTCCACAACTAGCCTCAGGGAAGCCCAAGCAAGGGGCAGGTACACAGACACACCGCATTCTGGCAGCTTCCAGGCGAGAGAGTGCATGTGTACAAGCACCTGAGATTGGAGATCTCATCCCTCCATCTCCCGTAAACTCTCTTTCATGAGTCTTTTGTCCTGCTGCAGGCAGAATGGAACCTTCTAGTCAGAGTCAAAGGGCATCTCAAAGCTGACCCTTAGGCCAGCACCTTCCCAAGCACATCTTCCCTCCTTCCTACAGAAGGTCTCAGGTGTCTACACTGGTCCACAGAGCTAAACCAGGGAAAGTGGGCCAGAAAAAATGTGACCCTATCAACTTAGGTAGGTAAAGTCAGCTTCCTCCAAGTAGGCCCTTCCCCTTGAGGCTGGCCCGTGAGGTTGAGGCTTTTGCCATGACACTCTAGAGGAGGACTGGGGGAAGGCTGATCAAAGAGAACCTCAGGGCTGCATAAACTGCATCCCTCAAGGGTCACAGCTCCCTGGGCCAGGCAGCCGTTTCAAAGCTAAGCAGATTGATGGGTGATTATAAAAGCTCTTCATGCATACTTTGAACATCAGATGCCCGCTCTTCCCAGAGCGGCCCCTCTGCCTCTGCAACCGGCCATTTCTTCCTCACTTCAAGCCCAAACATGACTTCCTTGGTTCCAGTTCTGTCTTCCAGAACTAGTCTGTCACTGTGCTTTGCATTAGTACATTCAATGGCCAGCACAACCCTCCAAGGAGGATGCTACTTTTGCTATTTCACAGAAGAAGAAACTAAAACTCCGAGAAGGGAAGTGATGTACCCGACTTGCCCAGCAAGTGGCAACATGGATAGGAGGAATAGGAAAGACCTATTCCTATCCATGGGGGAAAAAGGAGTGACCTACTACTGTCAGACTGGGTGACCAGCTGGCTCTGTGGTACAGCAGGTGCCGAGAAGGGAGACCACAGGGTTGAACAGGCAGGACAGAGGTGCTTCTGAGGTGCATGCCTCCTGAGACCCTCGGGCTCCCCGCTGTGACAGGCGTCTGGACACCGAGTGGCCAAGTCACATAGGCCTGGACCTTGACATGACAATGCCTCAAGTCCCAGCGACGATTTGGCATCTTGGGCACCCCTTCAATGTTGGTCTTTCTGAAATGTTTGTTTACCCCTTAGACTAGCAGAGCACAGCCTGGGGGAAGACAGGGACAGGGCATTCTCTGGTGATGGGTGTGCCCCCGCTGAGAGACCCTGCTCAGCAGAACAGAAGCCCTTCGGTGAATGAGACCTACCCTCTGCAGAAGGCTGGTTAGCAAGCATCCATGTCTATTTCAGCGTCTCACCTCCCTGTCACAAACAGATCACCACAGTCTTCCTTCAGCCACATGCTGTCCTCTCCCTGGGAGGAATGCGGGTACATGTAATTTTCTCCACTTCCATACATCTAGTGATGTTGAACTTCCTTTTAGATCAGTGTGTCAGGGACACCATCAGGCATGCCTGCACTCACTCAGACCTGACTGGACATGATTACAGGAGTGGAGCAAGACCAGCATGCTCTGTTCTCCAGTTGACATGGCAGTTACCATGACAACCACAGGCCCCCTTTGAGGTGTCTGAAGGCTGAAGTAGGGTCCAGAGGGATGGAGCAGAGACAGGCATCCAGGAAGGACAGCTCGTGGAGGGGCCCTCTGGGTCCCCTGTTGCCCTGGGTCCCTCCTCAGAGCAGTAGACAGAACTGATGGGAGAAGGGGAGAGGAACAAGGGGTTAGGACTCTGTGAGAAGTGAGGGTTTTGAGGCCAGCACTAGGGTGAATGGAATGAGGCTCTTGCCTGGGGTGCAGAATTTAGGGTCGTGCCAAAAAACTCAGTGGTCAAGAGATATAACACTTACCTCAAAATTAAAGCAAAAATGTTCATGATAAACAGGGCTGACATTACAGTATAGCAGGAGACCAGGTCCTGCAAGTTCAGTGTTGGATCCTGTGTTTATTATTTGATTTTTGTCATGCATATCTACGTCTGTATTTTCAATTTAAAAAAACTGCTTGGCTACTGAGCTTTTTGGAGGTCCGTTAAGTTTTGCACTTGAAGTACATACCTCTCTAACCTCACCCTAGCCTCAGCCCTGGGGGGAAGGGACACACTGAGTCAGAGGCAGGAAGGACCCCCATGCAGTGGAAAATCCGTCATACGACAGGGAGCCAGGAGACATGGGTGACTGTCGGTCAAGTGCAGGGATTCCTCTCTGTTCTGATAGAATCAGATTCTGATTTCACAAGACTCTGCAACATGAAGACTGTTGCAGGGCACGGGTGCCTAGCATGCACATGGGCCCCCACACCGGGGTGACGGTGACTCATAAGGCTCCCATCACCCGCCCTCCCTTAGGTTGGCTGCTAAGGGCAGGAAAGAGAAGAAGGGGAGAGGGGAATGAAGGGGGCGGGCAGAGAAGAGGCTGGTAGTTTTGCACAACTGGGAGCAGGAATGGCAGATTAGCTGTAATTGCCTGAAGCTGCGAGAGGCTGTTGACGAATGTTACTAATAATCAACCTTCAGATCTGACACCCAGCTCAGGCTGGGATTACTGTTTTGAATGGAAATTGAACCCAAACCAGTAATTACCCCGGTGAGTGATGCCAGTCTTACTCTGGAGCCTGTTCTAAGCAGGGAAATGGCACCTGCATGTCAGTACTAGCCCATCGGAGAGAGAATTCAGCAAAGGACTCCTTTCTGGGGTCACATCAAGAGCACAAACTGGCCTGGACACTGCTAACACTATGAGCCATAGTCAGCAGAAATGCCCACCTTCTTCCTAGGACCTGCAGTGGATGAGGAATCCCATCCACCATTCAATGTCACCCCTTGGACTGAGGTGGAAGTCTCTTGTTGACATCATCTCTAGCTGTCAGGAGTAGCTGCTTAGGGGGAGATGCAGCTGTCCCCCCCCAAAACAGGTGCAGCCCTCCAATCCTCTGTCTGGGGTCCTTGGATAGCCACACGTTGTTCCCAGTTAGGCTGGGAGGCTCCTGGAATGGCCTGAGTTGGGGCCAGGTGAGAGAGGCAATAGGTCCCAGAGCCCACCCCATCCCTTGTCTCTGGCCTCTGCCTGCTCCCAGTACCATACAAGGGCCAGGTATGCCCAAAAACTCTACCTGGAAACAAGCAGCATTCTCTGGTGCTTCTTGTGTCCCCTCCGTGCCTCTAATCCTGTCTAAAGACCCCCTAGAATGCTGGCACCACCTAGAACCAGGTCAGATGAGAAGAAGCTACTCCTCTCTCTGAACTGACCCTTCTCCTCAGGGTACATCCTGGCTCCTCACTAGGGAAGCCGGAAACTAAAAAAGTACTCACTAGACAAACTATGCTTGTGTGGCTGGTGATGGCAACACTCTCTCCTGTTTACACATTATTCACTACCAAACACCTTCTGCCCTCTCTGCTGTGCCAGGCCCTGTGTC